GAATCACGAAACATACGTGATATCTCTTCTTCTAACATAAGAGGTTGAACTTGTGTTGCCACTCCTCTCCATCTTAAGGCATATTCTTGAAATCTTTCATTGGCTTTCTTCTTTATTCTTCAAAGATTCATATGTGTTGGAGCTAGGCCTTTAACATACCGATATTGTTCCAAAAATGCATAAGCTAAATCAACCCATCTCTTGATCTATTCTTGTGTCAACTGATTGTACCAGACTACTGCTGGGCCAACAATGCTATCATGGAAAGAGTGAATTAACAGATCATCAGAACTTAAATATCCTTCCATTTTTCTGCAAAACATTCTCAAATGGATTAAGGGACAACTGGTGCCATCATATTTCTCAAAATCAGGCATTTTGAAATCATGGGGAATAACCAAATCTGGAACCAAGCTGAGCTCTCGTGCTTCTAATTCTTTGTGGTGGGCACTAACATCTTTCATGTTTCTGATTGCTTTCTCCGCCCTCTTAACTCTCTCCTCATATTGTGAATAATTAATGAGGCTATTCTTTGGGTTTGAGTGGGATGACCTAGGGTATATTTTTTTCTCGACTCTTCAATCCGATAGCACGATTTCTCTTTAGCATTTATCTCTTCTTTATCAGATTCCATTCTCTGAATAATTTGATTTGATTCATCTGGTACTGAATCTGATGCTTCTTTCCTTATATCCTGAGGTAACCCTGTCAATTGTTCTGGCCCCTGATATTGTAGTCCCTCATAAGATTGCTCCATTGTTTTCATGATGATGGTACAGTATGAATGAATAGTCTCGATTTTACTGTTACAGAACCCTTCATGAATTATTTATGTTTTTATAATTAATGTATATACCAATACTTTAACAAATAAAAAATGTAAATGCAAAATGCATAAATGCAAAAATGTAAATTATTTAAAATACCATAATAGGAATCCAGTTATATTAAGACTGCTATTTTCTTTGATATTGAAAATAAATAAACATTTAAATATGTTTTAATGCATGATGTAAATGTAAATACAAACGTAAAAAATACAAAAATGCAAAATGCAAATGCATGTATGAAAAGGTGTTACTCAAGAGTGATCATCTTAGAACATATTTCATTGAACACAAAAGTTTCCGTGCATTAAACAAAACTTTTACATGTAGGGGACAACTTTCAGTCCTAACTTCAACAAAACTTTACATATAGGGAATAACTTTCCCATTTTCTTCTCTAAAACCAAGTTAGTTTATCAGCTTATGGGCCATATTGCTTGTCTGGACTGCAGCTTCTTCCATGACATTCTGGTGTTCTTTCATCTCCTGTGTCAATTCTCGGAGTTGCTCATTTTCCCTTGTGAGAGAACCTTTGTGTTCAAAAAGTTTTTGGACAAGATCTTCATGTATGTTGCAACTCTTTTTCAGTTTGGTGACCCCTGTTATCCACTCTTTCGGGGTGTTTCCTATGCCAGCATTTCGAAAAGCTTGATTGATCTTCTGGAAATCTTCCTGCATGGTTTCCATTTTGGTGCTCAATTTATTGTTTTCCATCTTTAAATGACGTATTTGAGCCTCGAACCTCAGTAAATCTTCTTCTTTCTGGGCGCCCCTATTGATACTTTTACCTTTGAAGACTTTTGGTATTAATCTAGCAGGACCTTTGGTTACCAAACTAGGTCGATCATCTACCATAAATTGTAAGGTTCCATGATCCAAAAGACTTTGGACTCGACGTTTGAAGGCAAGACAATTCTCGATGGTATGTCCTTGAGCTCTGACATGATATTCACAATGAACGTTGATGTCATACCAATTTGGATACGGAGGTTGGAATGGTTTTATGTAATATGGAGCTACTTCTCGTGTTTCAAGTAACTTTTCATACAACTCTTTATATGATATAGATATAGCATCAACATGAGAACCGCCTTTTGTCTTGGATTGAACCTGAGTTTTAGATGCCGGGAGAAGACTAAACTTCGATGATTTCAGGTTACATGATTTCTTCTCTTCTCTAGGAGCTTTTACAGTTGTCATCATTTCTTTGGTATCTTCAGATGACTTGTGAATACGAATGATGATTGTCTGTAACTTCTCCAATTGATTAGGATCAGAAGTCCCTTGCATATCTGAAATTGCAGGATTATCTTCATTAAGATTTCTTTCTTTCTGTGCAGGAATCTCTTCTCCTTTGGCCAAAACAGATATTCTATCCATCATCTTGGACATCTGCTCTCTTATTTCTTGTATCTCCTCTTGCTCCTTAATGGACACATGATCTTTAGGTGCATAGCTCTCTTCTATCCTCGGAGTTCCCTCGGGATGCGATTCCTTGGCCGCGTCATATTTTGTTTGATCATAAAACTTTTTGTCCATTTACGATTTTTTTCCAATTTGATGAACAGTCTTTCAAGTCAACACCTTTTGATTATGCCATGATCGTGCAATGCAAACAAAAGAAATCAATATAAACAAGTTTAGAGCAATGTAACATGCATGAAAAAATAAGAAAAAAATAGAATAGTTAGTACCAACTAATGAAAAAAAATATATCTATCAAGGTATAAATCTTAACCTCATGCTTTCTAGTTCCATGCTTTGTTTGGAAAATTTAACCTAACCGCATGATTTATAGTTCGCATGCATTTATTAAAAGACAAAAAATTAGAACTTATTTCTCCTTTGTGTACACCTATGAACAGAGGTTCAGTACTGTCTTAGATCAGGTGAATTTATAGGGTTTATTATATGCAGAGTTTCAGTTCTATGAGTAAAGGCACTGCCTTGTTGATGCCCCTTGGGCTGTCAAACCCTCAATCCTAGTCCATTGCAGACTTAAGCGGATCGAGTTCAATTCGAGGGGACACATTTCTATATGCCTGACACGGAGAATAAATTCTCACGAAGATAGAGCATATGAACCCCGAAAGTTACTTGCTAGGTCTGACACGGAGAATAAATTCTCACGAAGACGTCGCTTTCACTCCCACTTAAAAGGGACAAGCTTGATTAGAAAGCTTATGTTATGCAATGCAAGTGTTGTGTGTGAGGAGAAATATTCAAACCTTTGACAAATAATTAAATAAAAAATTTAATATTTGAAAATAAAGTAAAAATATAAAATATAAAAAATATTATGAAAATCATAAAAATTTGAAAGAAAAGAATTAAAAATTAAATAAATGAATTTTTAATTTCTAATTAATAGAGACAATTTATAATTAATTTTAAAGTTTGACAGTCCCCAGCGGAGTCGCCAGCTGTCGTAACAGGTTTTCGTCCGGGCACAAATTTTTTTTACTTGGCGGGAAAAATGATGTGAATAAATGATTTTTAAAATGTTTAAGGAGTCGCCATCGGCCTTTTGGATCAGGTAGGTCAAATACCTAAAAATTATCTTTTAAAAGAGTTTTTAATAAAACATCAGTTAAAAGATAAATTGGTCTGCGTTTTAACCAAAAATTTGTTCTTTTTAATAATAAAAGGGATTCGTGGTCGATTACGTTTGGGGAAGGATTAACACTCCCACAACGCCCAAAATTGGTACTCATTAATTATAAATTGTCTCTATTATTAAAAATTCAAAAATATATTTAATTTATAATCTTGTTATTTTACATTTATTAATATAACTATATTTTTAAATAAGATATTTATTTATTTACAAATATCAGAAAATGGCTTCTAGGTGCTTTAAGACAACTCTTTTCTTATTATTAAAAAAATAAATAAATATTAATAAAACATTTATCTAAAAATAATAAAAATAGATTAATATATATAATTGATAAAAAATATTTATTTAAAAATATCAGAAAATTGACATCCAGTTGCTTTAAGACTGCTCTTTCTTAATATTTAAATATTAAAAATAATAATTTTCTCTAATAAAATAAAACAATATGTGTTTTCTTATTTTTTTATAAGTAAGATATTTATTTATTTTTAAAATATCAGAATAGGACATCTAGTTGCTTTAAGATTGTCCTTTTCTTTGATATTAAAAAATAAATAAATAATTAAAATATTTTTTAAAAATAATAGATTAATATATGTAAAATAGGATATTTATAAAATAAATAAATATTACTATTATATATTAATAAAATAATACTTAATAATAATAATTAAATATATTACAAATAAAATAAAATTAAAATATAAATAAATAATGACTAAAATAAATAATATTGAAATTATAGTAGTAAAATATAAAAAGTAATAAAACTTATAATTAAAATAAATGAAAATGACTAAATTATAACATATCAAAATTAAATAATCTAATTCACAATTAATTATTTAATATTACAGGGGCTAAGCATGCTATTTTACCTATTATTAATTTAGTGACTAAATTAAAATTATATCGAATTATAATATCAATTTAAAATAAATTAAAACATGCTCTCAGGATTAAAATAATAATAACTTAAATCATAAAGGACTAAAATAGTTATTTATCCTAAATATTGTATAAACATAGCCAATGACTAAATTATAAATTAATAAAATTAGAAGACGGATTTAAAATATTCAGAAATATAATTTAGTGACTATTTTGTAAAGATTACAAAATCAGAGGGGTTGTGGAAAGGGTTTAACAACTTTGGAAATTACACATACGTCCCTCCCCAAAACGACATCGTTTGGGGAGGGTATTTAAACCCTTTAAACGACCCAAAATCCCCTCATCAATCTCATTTTCATTTATTCTCTCTCTCTCTACACGAGAGAACCAGAATTCTCTGCCTTCTCTCTAGCTTCCCTCATCGGAGGGAAGCCAGTCCCGGCCGGCCACCGTATTCCGGCTCCGATCGCCGCCGCTGGTCACCGTGAACGGTGGCCGGAATTCGAGAAATCACTCCAAAATATCCCTTTTTCGATCCTAAGGCCAGATATGGCCTTCTTTTTACTTAAACATACCTAGATCGTCTTAGATCTAAAAAAAACCCTAAGGTTTTTTACCTTCGATTTAGTGACGATTCCGGCGATGTTTGATTTCTAGTGATGAGCGAAACCTCGAAGGTGAGTTCTTTTTTTTCTCTTCTTTTTCTTCGTTTTGGATTTGCTGCTGGTTGTGTGGTTGTTGCTTGCTGTTTTTTTGTGGACTCTTGCTCTCCGTTCTCCCTTATTTTGTAGGTTCTCCATGGCTTTTATAAGCCTCAACGAGGCTCTCATCTGACCAGTCCAAAGGGAATTTTCTGGTGATTCACCAAACTATGTGGTGACTCACCCCATAGCTGCGACGTGGACGGCCGACGTGGTGTTTTTGGAGTCTTCTAAGAGGGTGGCTTCGTGGCTACTGCTGGAATGGACCATCTGGAATCATAGGCGACAACTGTTTATCGTCGATCTATAGCGACGGCGGCGCTGGCTGAGGCGGTTGGATGATAACCCAGTGTTAGGAAACCCTAGGGCTTCCTTTGCTGGAACCATCTGTGGACCGTTGGATCTCTCAGATCCAACGGCTGAGATCATTGGCGGCTGGGGTTGAAATGATAAAACCCTAATTGGGTTTTAGGGTTTGTTTTGGGCCGGCTCTATTGGGCCTGATTGATTGGGCCGGTTCTGGTTATGTAAAACGGGCCTCCAGTTTTTTTTTGCTTGTAATATTTATTAAATAATAATATATAATAATAATAATAATAATAATAATAATAATAATAATAAAACGAAATGAAAAAATTAGTGTTTACACTTGGTAAATTACTTCTTTCCCAAAGTGGATTTGAACTTTCCACTTCGTTACTTTCCTCATGATTTATCTTATGCACTCATTTGCAGGCACTTAAAGAGTTAGGAAAGCTTAAGAATTTAGTGAAGGTGCAGGCTGCTGTAAGGGGGCACTTGGTTAGAAAGCATGCTGCTGGGACTTTACGGTGCATTCAAGCCATTGTCAAGATGCAAGTTCTTGTTCGTGCTTGTCTATCTCAAGACGGGCTTTATTCTGAAAATAAGCTGGATGGCAAGCTCCATAATGACAACCAAACTTTGGTAATTCTTAAAGCTTAAATCAATTATTAGGAATCACAACTCACAAGACCGTTTACCCTGTATGTTCTGGTTCACATTTTACTGATAGGTGGCCTGCTTGCTTTCACTTTTAGGATTGTTGCAACATTTTACCTTTTATTATTTGCATATATGGATGATCATAGTTAAGTATATAATCTATGAACGAACATGTTCTATTTTCAAGCACAAATCTAATTTTAGAAAGGGCCATTGGACGACGAGTTCTCTGTAATTTGCAAAATCATATTGTTCAGAAAGAGGTGAATCTAATAGGATTTTTTTTTTCTCGGCTACCTTTGCAAGACATTCAGATATACAGGCTAATGTCCCTGCTGGCGTGATGTTTGTTTAATCAGTTACACTTTGTATATGACACAACATAAATCACCTGGAAATATATAGATAACAGTATGTTTAGGAATTTTGTGCAATACGTTTCTTTCAGTAATTGCTATTTTTTAGTTTTAGCCATCATTCCTCCATTTATTCCTGAATCAGGGAAGCTCAGCAATAAAACAAAATGAAACTTGTACATCCATAGAGAATCTGCTTAGCAATAAGTTTGCTCGTCAGGTATGTTAAGTCAACAGTCTTTTGCTTCATTTTTTAAAAACTATTTGCTGGCATCTATTTGTCAAACTATGTCTACGCAGTGTACTCAGAATTTGATTTGATTGCACTTGCAGCTGATGGATTCAACACCCAAGACAAAACCTATCCACTTCAAGTGTGATCCATTGAAACCAAACTCAGCTTGGAGCTGGTTAGAGAGGTGGACGTCTGTGGCATCACCTAGAAATTCTTCGACGGTCAAATTAACTATTGAACAACCAGAAATGGGAGAAAAGTGACAATTATGAGACTCCTCTTACTACAACAGCTCAATCTGAAGCGATCTCCGAGTCAAACGAACCAAAAACTGACGTATGGGAGATATTGGTATCATCAAAGAGTGAAGAGAATCCGATCACCGACAATGCAGCCAACTTTAAGTTTGAGGAATGTGAGCAAACTTCCTCTCCAGTAACGGATGATATGGACCAACCTCAGATTGACACTATTACATCCGACCTAAAAGAGAACTCTCAGGAGATAAACACACAGGATCAAATGATGCAAACAGATGCTCATTCTCAAACACTGGACAGTTGTCTTTCTAGCAAGCTGGAAATAGAGAGTGAACAACCCAAACATTCTACGAAAAGATTTGCTTCTGAACAACTGGAAACGGAGCCAATGAAAATTGCATTTGGGTCAAGGAAGGCAAATAATCCTGCATTTATTCCTGCACAAACAAAATTTAAGGAGTTGAATTCAACTGCCAATTCAAGTAGATCAGTTGATTCATCCCCCCAAGACATTGGAGATGAATCGAATGTGGGTACTCTGTCATCTGAGGCAGATACGATAAGCAGGTTGACCAAACCAAGCATCACAGGAAATGCAGTCAATAATAGGAAGGTTCAATGCAGTGGCTCTGAATGTGGAGCTGAAATCTCTATTATTTCCACTCTCGGTTCACCTGATATATCTGAAGTTTCTGAGCAAAAAATTTTCAGTTCCAACAGTATTAAGGATTTGAATGTTAAAGAAAACAAAACAGGTGCAATCAGAATGACTGATTCTTCTCTGTCTACTGCTGGTCAGCCTGATTAAGAAACCGGATGCTAGTGGTGCATTGGCGAATTTAGTTGTTGCAGACTCCCCTCAAGTAGCGCAGCAGCCACCGAAAGGCACACCTGATTTGCATAGAGATCTGGATTCTGAGATGGGTAATCAAGCATACATATTATCCCCAGAAGCCTCGCCCAAGTGCCATATGATTGTTCCAGAATCCCAAAGAACACCTTCTAGTGAGGTATCAGTGAAAGCTAAAAACAAAAAGGACACAAGCTGTCAAAAGAGTAAGTCCTTGTCTGCTGCTAAGAGTTCTCTACCAACTCCAGCTCATGATAGTGGAGCAAGATGTAGCATGGAACAATTGCCCAAAGATCAGAAAAATGGAAAGATACGTAATTCTCTAGGTTCAGGAAGACCTGACAACATTGATGGTGAGCCGAGAGATAGTAACAGCAGCAATTCTCTTCCCCGTTTCATGCATGCCACGGAATCTGCAAGAGCAAAGGTTAATGCAAAGACCTCACCAAGATCGAGTCCAAATGTGCAAGACAGAGACATTTATATCAAGAAGAGACATTCCTTGCCTGCTGCTAATGGGAGGCAGGGTTCTCCAAGGATCCAGGGACCAATTTCTTTCTCTAGGTTCAGGAAGACCTGACAACATTGATGGTGAGCCGAGATAGTAACAGCAGCAATTCTCTTCCCCGTTTCATGCATGCCACGGAATCTGCAAGAGCAAAGGTTATGCAAAGACCTCACCAAGATCGAGTCCAAATGTGCAAGACAGAGACATTTATATCAAGAAGAGACATTCCTTGCCTGCTGCTAATGGGAGGCAGGGTTCTCCAAGGATCCAGGGACCAATTTCTCAATCCCATCAGGGTGCAAAAGGAAATGGTACAAATCCTATGCATGGTATGTTCCAAGCTTATTCTTCACCTTCCTACTTTAATTGTTGAGCTTCTTAACATTAAAATATCTTTAATTCTTACTTCTTGTTAGTACACTTTGTCCTTTTCATTTTAGATAATTGAATTTCATTCATCATTCAAGCAAGCAGATGTCTGCTAGTGGGTGTAAATTTCAACCCCCACCCCCCCAAAAAAATGATAGTTATGATTTAGTCCTAAAATAGTTCAATTTCAGCCCTAAAAAACATTTATGGCTTTGCTCCTAACAATCTTGTTTCAGAGAAATGGCAAAGGTGACAGGTTACCTCGGAGCAACCATATGTCACAGTTCCATGTTATGCATCTTCTCAGGTGAAGTGGAGCTGATTGGTGGTCATACTATCTAGCTATATGCCTCAGCATTTCTCCAATTGAGTTGATTTTGACAAACCATCTAGTGCTTGGCATGGGAGGAGATATATATAGAGTTGAGTAAACATTTTCTTGTATATTTCTATTACCAAAACCATTGATATCACTATTGTTTGTTTCTAAGCTTTACGCCTGGGGGTCTGCTCGTGTGTTTTGTTCAAAAGTGTTTGGCGTGGTACTATTCGGGTTTGCTACAACTTGTTTTTGAGGTGTCTATTCGGAGTTTTGATCAATTTTTCGTGTGATAACTTGGATATTTTCTGTTGTTTCGTTGGCAACCATTTTGATGCTTTTTTCCCCCTTTCAATTGTTTATGCTTTCGTAACCAAGAAAATCCATGTACCCATCTGCTATGAAAACAAACCTTTAGAAGATGCCCTTTTGTTTATCTAATATTTGGTATTTTTCTGTCAAATTTAAAGAACTGAACTAAGAGGCCCAAAACAAGAAAACCATGGACCTTACGTATCGGCCCTTGAATCCGAAAGCGGAAGCCACGTGGGCAAAGTTATCTGACAAAGTAAAGCACATCGAGTGTTGACTCTGCCAATGCTGCGACTTTTTCATCAACAGTCCTTTCATCGTTTAACTCAAAAAATGTTTTAGCCGTACTCGCATTCGGAGCGCGTGCAGTAGAACGTCACAATCCCTGAACGTCCTTCCATTTACACGCGTCTAAAGACAGCGTGTGCCAGCGCTCCCTCAACTGGATCCTCAATACAGAACAGAAGCCTAGAAGGAAAGAGCGAAAAAGAAAAGGAAGTAGAATAAATAGGGGGAAAATCGCAATGCTGAAAATGAAAACCCAGAGGATCTAGGGTTGCCTTGGATTTCTCTGTTTCGAAAGGTTGATAATTAGACGTATCTATACGCTTCTTTTTTAATCTTATAGTTAGGGTTTTCGAAACAGGTAAGTTAATTTAAAGGCTGTCAGTTTTCTTTTTGCGTCACCGGTGGTTGAGTTGGGTTTTAATCGATAGAACCCTAAAACCAGTGGTTTCGAGACTTGGACTAATACAGTTTTACCCAGAATCGAAGCCGGACAAGGAGGACTTTTGAAGGATTTTTATCTTTTAATTTAATATATTGTATTTTACGATCTGTAAATATGCGAGTGCGCAAATCGAACAGGATTTCTTGGGCACCGGATGCTAATCTTTGTCAGGTAAAACTTGCAATTTATACTTTCGGAACTTCTAAATTTCGAGCTCCGTTTCAGGTGAAATAGAGAATGAAAAAAGGGGTAGAAAATTTTAGTTATATGTTGCAAAAAAGTAAAGTGGGAATGATGCCATGTGAACCCTTCTTGTTGTTTTGTTTTTAGTTTTTTTTTCTTTTCTTCTTTCTCTATCTAAACCATTTGCAATTGCATTTGAAGCTTTTAGGTTATTTCATTTTAGTATTATTGAATTGCTGAGCATGTTTCTGAATATATTTTTCATTTTGGTGATGGCATTGTTTATAAAACCTTTTAGTGTATGAAATGTTGAGTTTCGTTTGTGCTTGATTTCCTTTTCCATGGTATTTATGTCTAATTTAGTGTCTATACCTGTTTGTAACTGTTTTTATGAGAATAAATCAGTCAATAGAGCCAGGAGTTGTCATGCTAGTTAGCTACAAATATTAGGGTACGATTATGGTAAAGTATTTTGATTTTTAATTGGTTCAAAATCGCTAATGAAGATAAACAACCCAGCTTGTCAATCCATGATGCTTCATTTCATAGCAGCACATTCCTGTTTCATATCATGTTCATTGTGCAGAGTGCAGACCACAATAAAGAAATAACAATTGTGCCACAATAAAATCTCCGTGGAGTTTGATTAGGTTGCACATTAAGTTCATGAATGTTTGTTGTATCGCTTTAGCTTGTAATTATCAGAAAGCTCAGAGTTTGTGGTCTATCCTTTTACTTTTATATGCATACCCTCTCCTTTTAGGATAGTCACTTGTTTCTCCAAAGAGACTTCAGCATACAGACTCCGAAATAATTTGAAAGGATCTTCAGTTTTAGCATCTCTAATTCTTAGATGTATGAAGTTCTGAACTAACATGTAGCAACTCTTCTGTGCTTTGAAAGATTCTGAAATGTCCTTTGCCAAAGGTCTCCTCGACTAAAAGTGGCAATCTACTTCAATGGTGTCAAGCTAGTAAGAAAGGAACTGATCATTTCAAATATTAAAGATATTTGCGACTTGGTATCTATTTTAGGTGCCTGTTTGCCAGGGACTATTCCTAGTTGAGCATGGGGTTAATATTGGTTGGTTCTGTTTGGTTTTGAAGATATTTGCGGTTAATATATAATATTCTAGGTTTTTTTAAGATCAAATCAATAGGCTGAGTTCATCCCCGGTAGGTGACGTCATTCTGGATTTTTTTTTCTTTTTTGGGTCAACCCTCATTTAGAAATTAATACTAGATTTGTGGTGTTTTCTATTGTATAAGTACTAAGCGAAGCCTACTGGGATTGACATCTGAATTTCATTAACCTCAGATGAATCTTTTCCCCCCTTTTTGTTCAACATTTAGTCTCAGCTGATTCTTTGTGAGAAATTAAGAAATTCTTTATGAGAAATTAAGAAATTCTTTGTTCAACATTTTTCTGATACTTCTATTCTGTTGTTAATATATACAGTGTGAGATAAAAAAATCCCCAGCTTAAGCAATTATTTTCATCAGTTCATTTGGTAGAGGCTGTTTTATTGAAGATCCTAAACAGAAAATAAGAATGCTTCTTTCTTAACAGATAAAGCTCTTTCTGATGGAGGAACCACCTTCACAAGTTGGATTGGGCGCTCAAGATCACCTACAAGCAAAAACCTCTGTTTCACATTTAAATGGAGCAACTGCGGATGACTTTCTGCCTCCTGGATTTGAAGGAACTCATTCTACAAATCACGTGCATGTTGACTTGTCAGAAATACCTGTCATTAAGTGGAGATGTCCTCACAGAGTAACAGTTCTAAAGACTTCTTTTCTTGCCATTTTCATTTTATTTTGATTTGTAAATATTGCTCCAGCATTTCTATAAAAGCTGAATCTGCATTGTCACAGTTTATATTGGACTTCAATTGGCAAGTAGTTGCTGGAGAGGAAAGTAGAGAGGTTGAGATTCAAAATCAGAGAGAAGTTAGAGTACTTGAAGCTATTTATCCTCGCCCATCTGCAATTCCTACAAAGTCTGATTTTTTTCTATTTATTTATTGGAGGGGGTGGGGGATTGGGTTTTCTCATAATTTTCTCCAGTTTTACTTTTCCACGAGCCTAACTTTTATTCTCATTCTTCAGCTCTTCCGTTTCAGCAGATGTAGAGAACTGCCACTATGATGATCATCTAACTCCTCAAATACCCATCACTCCTATTGAAGATGAAGATGCAGCAATTGAAACACTACCTGATGTCTTGGCTCCATATGGTGCCCCCATTAGTTCACAGTCTGGTGTTTCAAGTGCTTCTGCCGAGGAGAGACCATCGACTGAAATGGTACTTAATGTCGAGCCCGGAGTAGCAGCTGCTGCCTTAAGAGCTATTAACCAAAGCAATGAATGTGGAAAAATGATTGATCCTGACTTGCTCGTCAAAATTCTCAGCAACCCTCAATTGATTGAGAAATTAGTTACAGATTATGGAGCTGCTTCGGCTGCACAAAACTTGCCTAAACCAACATCTCCTCTGGTACCTTCGTCCTATCCCCATCCAGCTGTAAATGTATCTAATCCATCTCCTCCCTGTACCAATAGAATGGAAAATGGCATAGCATCCGTAACAGCTGCGTCTACTGGAGCATATTATGCTGAACGTGATGGGTTTGGTAGTGGAGCCTCAAATAAACAAGGTCCTATTCCCAGTGTCCAGCCAGTTTCACCTACACCCGCCCCGGAACTTCCTCAGAAGGATATAAACTATTACAAGAACTTGATTCAGCAACATGGAGAAGAAAGACGGGGACTAGCTCAACAGCCACGACCAAACCAAGAACCAACAAAAACCCCAAAACCAAGAGATTCGAAGTTGAGAGTGATGAAGCCTTGTATTTACTTTAAAAGTGCCAGGGGATGCAGAAATGGCGCCAATTGTGCATTTCAACATGATGTATCGTCCCAAAACGGAGGCAACAACCATTCCGACCTGCCCAATGGTAAGAGAATGAAAATGGATAAGAGAGATCAGGAGTTTGAAAATACGAGTATGCCCTTTTTCACGTAAGAAAAGCGTTCTGCAGCATCTGCTCTCCTGTCTATTTCACGATTGTCATGCTTTTGGGTTTTTTCTTCCTGCAAATAGTTATATAACTACCAAGTTTTTCTTCTTTTTTCCTTTTTCCTTTTTCCTTTTTCAGCCTTGCATCTAGCTTTATGATTTAAGTTATTGGCGACAACTTGATAAATCGCAAACGATTGCTGATTTCATCTTTGGATGCAGGAATTTTTGGTTTTCCTCTTGCACCCATTTGCTATGGCTGTTTTTGTGCATCAACTATTTGCGTTAAGTTCATTTCCTAGAGATGCAGGATTATTATTATTTTTGGTTTACTTCTTCCACCCATTTGCTAGAATTGTTTTAGTGGATTATTATCATATGCGTCAAGTTCATTTCCTGCAGAAATATGCATAGTGAATTCGTACACCACATTTCCATCTCTACAAAACGAAAGCTAAAATGAGCACCCGAAGCTGAAGCTGAAGCTGAGGCTGAGGCGTACCAGTGGGAATCATATAGATCACCGGTTAATATTTGGTATCAGTATGAGACTACTCTGCCATTTTTAAACTCCCTAGACATGGGTAATCTCTATCGTTCACCCTGAATCTTGACTTTGCAACCTTAAGACTTAGAGCCATTGATTCCTTGCACTGCTGCACTGTTGAGAAGCTTTATCCACTCC